CCTCTAGTAATATATTTACTGAGAAAAATGGTGATGTGTTCAATACTTATTTTATCTGCTGTACATATATAATGTTAGTGTTGATAAGCCTGAGTGGTTATGGGCAGGTTACAATATAAAAAATGTTTATCATAATCATGTCTTGTGATTATTTGACAGGAGTTTTACTTTTAAAATGTAACTGTATTTAATTTAGTTTTAATGTAAATACAATAAAATTAAACCAAGATTTAGAATAATTATTATTTTGATCCATACATTGGTAATGTCTGACTGGGCCTCGTGTCACTTTATGTTCAACAAATGGGGCCCCGAGGTCAAAAAGGTTAAGAAGCCCTGATCTAGTGTATTTGGTTTAACAACAAGAATAAACCTTGAGCTGGTCAGCGACATGGATGGGGATGATGTTGCCCAGTAACCACTCAGCTTGGTCTCGCATCATCTGGATGTTGGAGCGGTGCTTGTCAGCCTCCACGTTGCCATGATAATGGAGACGGTAGCTGACCTCAAACTCACGATTCAGGAACCAGACCAGGAGCAGAAGCAAGAAAAAGGCAAGGATGGCCTCTGGGACCAAAACATTAAAAAGCGGTGGAGGAAAGTATGGTCCTGATTCTGGAGAGTCTTCAGTCGGAGCTGAGGTGTTCCATCTGAAGGAGAAATTGGATGGAAATGAGACAGGAAGAAGAGACATTAAGGTTTAATGAAAAAAGAAGGGAAGACATAAAACAGATTACTTTCAGATGATTAAGAACAAAGATTTTTTTACTCAAAATCAACCTTTTTGAGTTTTATATTGTGTTATTATGTCATTCCCTCCCTTAAAAGAGATAGAGGCCAATTTCAAGGTGTTTAGAACACATTTTTAAAATATCTACAGCATTTTTACAACAACTGGGGTAACATTTTTACTTGATTGTGGCATAGAATTGAATTACATGCCTGGAAAATATATAATACTCCTACTTAAAAAGCTTCAAGAATAATCAAGCTTTTAACAAACAAGGTCTTATTTCAAATCACAACATTAAGAGCTTGATCTTACTGTGCAAATATATGAAGTCAATTATAAAAGTAAAACAAAAATAAATGAAAATGCGCAAAACTTATTTTTTCTAAACCTGTAGTTTCCCAAATATCCCAGCTTATGAGTCCCAAACTGACAGTGACAAAATCTTGTCACCTTATTTTGTGCTGGTTTAATTATACAAAGTTTTGCTAAAAAAATATATTAAACAAGGAAATAATGACAATGAAAACTGTCCGGAAAACCTCAATGTCAGTTTTATATTGATTTATGGTCTATAATGTATTGGTGACTTGGTGTACAACACCTTTCACCCAATGGCCACTGGAGAGAGACACCAGTTTTCCCATTAGCCTACACAAAATGCTACATTGAGACAGTGAATGGATGGAATTTTGGTAACAAATGAACCTAAAACAATCATTTTAAATGTAAGTTGAAATCTATAATTTGTATTTAAGGACCCCCCTCATCTGGTGTTTCATGATCCACAGAGGGGTCCCAAAACCTACTTTGATAATCAGCATTTTACAGTTTTTTTTACAATAGCTAACTCACTAAAATGACATCCATAAAACAGCTATTTTAACTGACACACAAAGAACAGAACCTCCTCTCAAGACTCCAAAAGTCAAAACACATTTTCTGCTTTACGCACATTCTGTCAAAATGGCACTTTTTAAATGAACTGAACACAGTTCTCATGCATAAGACACTTATCTGACATAAAGTCACAAGTTTGCAATTTCAAAACACTGCCATTCAAAATGACAATACATGAGCTAATTGGCCAAAACATTTCTGCTTCTAAACTCAGATAAGACAGAGGTTCTGGGTTCTGGACCTGAACATCTTAGGGATCAACTTTGYAGCCTTTCACCTCCTCTGGATGGCATTAATCTGGCCTCCAGTTCTAATGTAAAGAAACTTGGTGTTATTTTTGATCAGGACATGTCTTTTAACCCCCACATTAAAAATGTTACCAGGACCGCCTTCCTCCACCTGTGTAATATYAYTAAAATATGAAATATTTTGTCCAAAAATGACACGAAAAAAACTGATTCATGCATTTATCACGTCTAGACTGGATTACTGTAATTCTTTATTATCTGGACATCCAAAAACCTCTTTAAGAAGTCTT